TATTCAATGTGGCATAGTGCCACATTATGAAATTAATACCAATAAGTTACATTACTTGGATACTTTGGATAAGTGCAGTTGTAGAAAAAGTATGGTGCGCCACATGTGGGAAAAAGTACTTTTCTCACTCGTGTGTTTGCATCACTGGCCCTTCAGGCTCGTGCCACAAACTTTCACACTAGTGAGAAAAGGTGAACTTTCCCCACTTGTTGCACAATATACTATTGTTTTATCACTTTCGGTTTCACCGGAAACGACCCCAACTTTTGATTTTTAATTAGGACACCCTGTATTTTATTCCATAATCATGACGAATTCAACAGTACTGGGTTTCATAGGGTTATTTCAAACGATCACGAATATATTTTCGTACGAAGTATTCAAATGCACAGTGTGTGTGAGAACGCGATTGTGAAGATACAGCACTGACAGTTTTTTTTTATTTTTCATGCACTTGTCTGTATATATAGGTAGATAAAACGGGGATTCACTAGCTAAGATTTTACTCACATAATTTCAACCTATACAGGGTGTCCCATAAGTTATGGATCAAAAGAAGTGGGGTGGAAGAGGGGATCATTTGCAATCAAACTAACCATATAGGCCAGCGTAGCCTCGTGGTTAAAGCGTCGATGTTCTATCCACGTTGGATTACCGGTAGTGGGTTCGATTCCCACCACGACCGCAGAAATTTTTCTGATGGCCTTATAGAGTGTTTGGGATCACACGTTAAAAGGTAAGATCCCCGTCATTCCTTGCTCGTACAAGTCTCTTGAAGACTTCTGAGGGTTGCTCGTAAGGGGGCAACCGAATGATGGATAAGACCAATTTTAGAACAATATATGTGGTTACCCAATTGAAGATGGTTCAAAAGTTATTAATTTTTTCTGAAAAACACGACCTATTTGAAAAAAAAATTACAAAAAGGCTGTTTTGAATAACCCTGTATGTTATACCATTTCGGAATCTGTATAAAATGGGCAACTTTTGCTTGTAGTTGGTTAACTCATCAAAAAATCAACTGAATTAAATATTTTATTCAACAATACAAAAGGAAAACAACATTTTTCGTAATTGATAGGAAATAAAACACAGGACATAAAAAATATTCCTGTGGAATGGTACATCCATGCGGATTAAATTTGTAAAAGAAAAAATCTCAAATGTGACATAGTTTTATTGTAATTAATTTCTTTTATAGAAATGAAAAAAATATATATAATTTTTGAACCATCAACATCTTGATAACCTATCACACCACTTCTTTTGATCCATAACTTATGGTACACCCTGTATATAGGTACCACACATTATTTCAAAACACATATTTCCGGATTACCTATATTTCCCCTACAAACTATGACATTCAAGTTGAAGGAATTGTAGAGTATATAATATTAACATTTTATAGTAGGTAGGGATTTTTTACTGATAACATCTTAAAAATATACCTACCACTGATGGATAAACCTAAAGTCCTATTCAAAAAATGCCAAAATATTCGCGTTGCGGTCCCAATATTTATTGGGAAAAAAACCATTTCAGGTATACTATAGTAGGTGTACCTATACATAATGTACCTATACCTACCTATCCTCGCAATTTCTGTGCATATCCCCAAAAATGATCGAATTAATCATATAAATCTGTTATTACCCTGTATGAGCAAATGCATTGTCTGCTAAATAGAGAGAAAAAATCTAGTGAGCTGTAACTACTACAACACAGGTCACTAGATTTTTCTCTAATTAGCAGACAATTAGTAAATGCATTACATTTTTTTTACTAGTTGGTTTTCCGAAAATTAATCGAAATTACTAGTTGACAACACGCTTTTGTCATTTTCCAGCATAATCTTCTAAGTTCTAAAAACGCTGAAATACATGCACCTCGACATGCAAAGTTTACAGAAATAGTATATTATTCCTTTTATACTAAAATAGGGAGAAGTTTGGGGAGTAGTTGGATTTATTATTATTCTGTAACCTTTGCCTATAGTGCCTTGGCTGAAGCACCTACATTCAATTTTTCAGTGTGCCAAAAAAGTTTCCAACTTTATAACCAAATAATTAGTCGATTTTATCTCGATGTTGTGTAAGCTAAAATCTAATATTTTTCCCGTGTATCACAGAAAAAAATAATATCTACTGTCGTAACCGCTGTGTTTATTTTTTCTCGATGGGAATATTGAATATCAAAATGTTTTTACCTACTAATAGTACTGGAAATAAGTATTATTACTGATGTGTGATGTGTGTTGGGTTGATATTTACGACTAACTATAGTGAAAGAGTGAAATAAGAAAAATAATAAAAATATCACACCAGTACTAGTAGTACTACTATAGTGACCGCGGTGGCTGAATTAAACTTTTATTACATTTTCGGGATCTTGACTGGTTTCGCTGGTTTCAGCTGTGTCTCAACATGTTCTCAACTGGACTTGAGAAGAAACTTGAAGGTATGTACATGTACTACACTGTTTTACCACTAACCAAACCGATTTTTTAACGCCTCGACACGTGTTTCGCTAACTATGTTAGCATCTTCAGGAGAAGATTAAAACTACACACACACAAACAGTTTTAATCTTCTCCTGAAGATGCTAACATAGTTAGCGAAACACGTGTCGAGGCGTTAAAAAATCGGTTTGGTTAGTGGTGAAACAGTGTAGTGTATTATCGTGCCAAAGGTTCCAGTCTTCGATATATGTATGTACATGTATAATTTTGGATTTGTGTTGAATATGCATGTAGTTTATTGAAACTGGTCTGGAACATGTTGTCAACCAGGAATTTTGATAACTGCTCATAGATTTTATACCTACAAAAAATTGGCTTCATATTCTACTTGGTGTCCACCTTGAGGACCTATACCACCCCCCTAAAACCTTAATTTTGGTATCGATCTTGAATACATTTTTTTGTTAGTTTCAAATACACATTCAGCTCAAATTCAAGAAAATAAATTTACGAAAATTACATGTAGACAAACCGGTATATTTCACTTTAGACAGTTCGAAATTCCATAATTGCACGATTTATTCAGAGTGCGCGAGAAAAATCATCAGGTGATTCTTTCTCATATTTAGGTAATCGGCAATTTTTTTTTCGCTGATAAACGAGGTTTGTTGGTCACGTGTTGGTCAATTCGGCTTCTGTATTGGTAGAGCAAGTCCGATAAAATTTAATAAACAAAAAATATCACTAGAATACAGAAGAAACCGTGAAAATGGTCGATTCTGATTGGTTCTCGAGATCAAGAGTGGAATTAATAGTCATTAGGAAGAATTTTATCCTTGTGTTTTTATTGGTGGTGAAAATCGGTAGGTGTGGGAAAATTTTAAATTAAAATCAGGTTAGAAATTTCAGTTCATTAGAAAGTGGTCGTAGCTCTGGTGAGGAATGCAGTTCAAATATCACCCACTTGTATTTGCATTCAAAAAAATATACAGGGTGTTTCGAAAAAAACTGACCCCCTTACTAGGGTAGGTAGAACACTCAGTTGAAAAATTTCGTAACGGCATCCCTTATTAAAATAGAAGGTGTTGAAAAAATGATTTTTTTTACACATTTTTCAAGATTATGTCGACACTGCTGGCAACATTGTGATGAAATTTTGTATGGATGTTTCTTGGAATGTGACACATCGCATGCATTTGTTTTATACCTGACTCTCATAGAGGGCGCTAGTTACACGGTTCGTATCGAGTAGTTTTGAACATAACTTTTATTAGATTTCACAATCCAAATTTGATGTGAACTTGAACATCATTCAATTTCACACCAAAAAGGGACTCTTGGTAAAATTCGATACTGTGTTCCGTTTTCGGAATATTTCGATTTGAAAATGATGAAGTGATAATAACTGTTGCTGGTATAAAGCTATATGTATTAGAGTGAGTATTATGAAAAATTATCACCTATTTATTGAAAATCGAAAACAACAATACATTTCTGATACTAAACTCATTGATTTAACAATGAATCACAAGAATAACATCGAAACAGATTTGACGAAGAACATGGATTACACAGTTTTGTTGTATCTTGAGCAGAAAGTCTATGCTATATACATAGGTAAATTCACGTCAAGAGTTGTAAGCCATAATTGAACATCACTTAAATGACCTAACAGCTGATCCTTAACTGGTTAGAAGAAGTATACATTTTTAAGAAAAGAATATATAGAATCGTAATTTCTTCGAAAAGTAGGACATTTTGAACACTTATCACTCTAACTATGATTCAATATTTCATGTTTCTAGTCAAATATCTCTTAATTTTCTACATATTTATGATTCTTTGTTCCATGAATAACTTCAGGACAAGAATAATTTCATTGTTTTTGAATCTGAATAAATAGGTAATTGAACTCAATAAAATTCATTTTAAACCAGCATCATTACTATACTCCATTATTTTCAAATCGAAATATTCCGAAAACGGAACATAGTATCGAGTTTCATCAGGAGTACCTTTTTGGTTCTAAACTACTCGGTACGAACCGTGTAACTATCGCCCTCTATGAGGGTCAGATATAAAAACAAATTCATGCGATGTGTCAGATTCCAAGAAACATCCATACAAAATTTCATTACAATGTTGCCAGTAGTTTCGACATAATCGTGAAAAATGTGTAAAAAAATCATTTTTTCAACACCTTGTATCATGGAAACGGATGCCGTTATGACATTTTTTCACTGAGCAAACCCAACTTATTTTGCAGTGTTCTACCTACCCTAGCAAGGGGGTCGGGTTTTTTTAAACACCCTGTAGATACCTTACAAAAACACTTGATCAAAAGTCGATAATGATTTTACAGGGGTGGCTAGGATTTTTTAAGGTATACGCTCTGTACATATAAATATGAACTTTGAATCGGAGTAACGTCCCAAAACTGGGAAGCAAATCGTTCCACATACACTTGCCCATGTATTTTTTTACTTAGACTTTTTTATCATGTCATATTCGGAACATAGATGTTGCACTGATTAATTGTGCTGATTACAAAATGGCGCATGTGCCGCCATTCATCACCGAAAGGAACATAGGAGTGCCTGCCCCTAGGCCCCCATCTGTCTTTTCTTGCTCGTTTTGTTCGTACTCGCAGTCGAAGTAGTGGCTTTGACAATCAAAACACCTAAAAACAATAATGAATATTTCAAGTAACTACTGAGATGTTTATACAGGGTGCATCTCCACAACGTTATATCCCAATGGATTAGGGGAGCATGCTTCGGACATCAAGAGTGCCCATCATCCGCCAGGAGTAAAATAGTCGTGGGGATGGGGATGAGGATATTTCATGGTAATAATGATCGAGGCATAATCATATATTGGGGATCATACATCCTTATTAAGAGGCTATATTTTGACTAATAATTAACAAAAATTTGTATAATTTACTTCAATATGACTACCATAATATGTCCCATCCCCATCCCTACGGATATCTTATTCCTGGCTGATGATGGACATAAGGAGAGGCCAGAGAATCTCTCATAAGATGAAAGATGCTGGTTGGCTGACTATGGAAAACAGGAGACTTCGTCAGACCGCTAACCTCTTTCATAGAATTAGCATCAGTAAAAAACCTTCCTATCTCCATAAAAAAAGTGTTTTCCGTACGGCGACGTTCACAATGTAAATATTAGGCTAAGAGGAATACTGTCTCCCCCCCCCTCCCCTTTCACAGCAGAACTTTTCCGAAGATGCTTCAGTTATCAAATATGCCATATTTACAATAATATTCCACATCAATTAAAATCAGCAGTGTTTCATAAATTCAAAACGAATATAGTTTCACATCTGTTTAATTCAAATCAATAACACATTCAGACTTCCTATTATTATGTTCCCATTTGTGTATTAGTTATCATCATGTTATCATCTGTATGATACTATCTTTCCACTTTTTCTAATCTCTTCCTTTGTTGTTCCTACATACTGAATTGTAGAGGTATTTGAGGGTTAGGTGGTAGAGCAATTCAGTGGACGGAGTCATCTAAAAACTGAATTGAACTTCGCCCTTTGCTTCTGAAAATTATTATCCACCCATAGTTTATATATTATTTGCTATTCAGAAGTAATAAAGACGTTTATTATTATTATTATTATTATTATTATTATTATTATTATTATTATTATTATTATTATTATTATTATTATTATTATTATTATTATTATTATTATTATCAAACGTTGTGGATATGATTTTGAGTTTGCCTGACATTAACTATTCTACTCAACTTCGAGATATGGATGTCTAAACTAAGTAAACTGCGCTCTATTTTCGTCAAACACAACATTTTATTCACCCCTGTATCTTAGCTATCTTTCAACTTATATAAAAAGTGAGACAAAATGAAATGTGCTGTACTCATTTTTTTCATCTCTTGGAGCGCACGAGAGGTATTCTATAATTTTTTTCGAATAAAACACTCCGTATATTTTCAATATTGAAAACATTGATATGCTCCGCTCTTAACACTTATACAATATTTTGAGAATTAGCTCTGATGAATATTTGAGTTATTTCTAGTGTTTTCGTAGGGTTTTTAATGATAAGCCTTGTGAATATGCAGCACATTTTCCATATCGCAAATTTTCATATTTACTTTGTTGCTGTTTTCATACAATTGCATATAATAATACAGGAAGTGAAAGATTTGAATACTGACCTGCATTGGTCCGACATCTTACAAGTGATTCCAAATTGTTTTGCGACGGCTCTGTACAGTTCCTTGCTGGATTTGTGCATTATTTCTGGCCCTCTGACAGTGTTTGTCGGAGTAGACGCATCACTTTTTGCTTTTTGACGAGTCTGCAAAAAAAACTAAATTATTAAGTATACGGTATACAGGGTGTTTCGAATTGTAGTTAAATGAAAAATATATATGATTACAATGTTACTCTAGTCACGAAAGTATAAAAAACTGCCAATCGAGAAGTGACTGAAGTTTCACCATAGGCACAGAGGAGAGAGTAGCAACTGTTATCAAGTGACGTATGGTTTCCATAGCCAACTTTTCAATTTTTGGCTTTCATTTTGCTTCCACGGCCTACTCGGTGAATTTCAATAATAATTTTTTTCTGATCTAGTTTCTGGTTAGATACCAACTTGTGATATGTCATTAGAAAGGGAATTGAATGCTGAATAAAGCGAAAAGAAAAAAAATAGGGTTTCCATTTAATATAAGAAAGTTGTGTTACTTCCGGTCAGACCGGAAGTCAACTTCGACATGTCAATATGCTCAAATTCTAGCTCTTATGTCATTATATCGACGCTCCAAATTTCACAAACCTACTTCATACAATAACTGAGATATTCCGTAGGCAATACTTCCGTAGCCACCCGGTATATTTAAGTATAGAGGAGTGCGTCTATGAATCTGTTAGAAAAGTCATAACAAATAGGTTCTTCAATAGGGGAATGAAAATGAGATTCATTATAGGTATAAATCTGGTTATAAATGATATTTTAAGAGGAGAGTTTCTTCATCTTTTTCAATCTTCGGTCAATTCCGGTTTTACCGGAAATGGTTCTGGTTTTGAATTTCTACATTGAACATTCTGTATATTATAACATTTTTAGATTTCTGAGAATATTCTGGATCAGAATGTGATATTTTCATAAGTTTTAAAGCCTATACTCTATTTCTTTAGTTACTCTCAATATTGCACAATACTAAGGATACATTTTATTGTTTGCTCATAAAGCTGATGTCACTGTCATAACTCAAATAAGTGATGAGTATTTTGTTTTCCAAAGAAGACTTAATGAGAATAACAGCAAAATTGTATGCATCATGGCTATATCCATGGCACACTTGACAAAACTAAGTAAATCATTATCCGTACCATCATCACAGTTTAGAGAATTTCTCTAAACTGTAGTATACTATTAATTCCCCTTAGTATACCTAATATTCAATTATCTGTATTCTTATTTTTATTCAAATATTAAAAGTGACTCTAGAAAAATTGAGTAGTCTTTAAAACTCTTGACTATATCACAATATGATCCAGAAATTTCTGAGAATTCTGGAAATTTTACAATATTCAGGGTGTTCCATTAAAAAATTAATAAATCGGTTGAGACCATTGTTGTTCAAGGTGTGGTTAAAATTCTCATCTCAACAACAAATCACGAAATTTGGCGATAATTACCGCACAGAAAAGTGCAATTTGTCAATCATTTTGCATAGATGCCGTTTGATAGAATGCAATGTTTTGTCTTTCCTTCGGGACATAAATAATATGTCATTTCGTTATCAAATGACGGTTGAAATTTGTAGCCAGCCCTTATATAGGACTAATACAAGTGAATGATAAATGAATTTTTCTATTTTAGTGAATACCAGACATAATTCACAGAATAAACATGAAATACTACTTCATGAATGAATTATTTTCAACAGAGTCAAATGGAATATTATAGAAACGACACAAAAAACCACGTCAAGATGTATTGGAAGTATTTTTTTAAATACATTATAGGACTTTCCTTTTATTCGCTTCAAGAGATATAAAAAAAGACACGATGTGAATAATTCAAATTGACAGTTGGACAAAAAAGGTTTGTATTTCGTGTATGAAATTCGTGCATGCATGGCACATTCGAGAGAATTTTTGAACGTTAACACTCATGTGCCATCAAAAAACACTCAAAATAACTATTTGAGATACAATCAGAATTGCACTTCAGGACTAGAAGAAGCTACTGAGGTGTGTTTTAAATTGCACTTCATTCACAGAAGCAGAAGAAATATTGAGAAGTGATTCACTATTTTCAGCCATGGAAGTTTAAAAAAACTATCGAGATGTTGTTAAGGTTGTCAAATCGGAGTGAAACAAGTACGATTAAAATGTCAATTTAGTCATGGAAGTATTATAAACTACCAATCGTTAGTGAAATTGCACTAAAGGCGCATCTCTAGAAAATAAACCATATAGATATGTACGTTGATGTATGATAAAATGCCACTTTATTCACGACTTTTCGCTCACCTCCTCCAACACTCGCTCGTAGGAAGGCGGCGGGCTGTTGGACGCGACGTCCAGTTCCCCCCCGCCGTCCTCCAGGATGGGGGGCGCGGCCGCGTGGAGGCGGGGGGGCACCCCTCCCCCGCCCCCCTCCTTGTCGTTGTCGCCGTCGGCAGGGGTCTCCACCGAGCTGCTCCTCGACGAGGAGTTCGATTTCGACATCCTGCTCAGGTTCAGCCTGAACGGCGCCAGCTTGACGGCGTTGGATCAGTGCTGATCCGCTGGCATGGCGGTAGCTGAGAACAGTATATTTTTAGGTTTATTATAAGTTCATACCAACTCGAGAATGCGTCTGGAAATCACCGTTACTTCAATATTTCTTGGAGAAAAAAATTTACTAACACTAAGTGAATATTTAATAGTGGTCGTAATAAAAACAAGGAAACAAGTTGATAATCACAAGAATATTTGTGTTCTTAAAAATGTGCACCTACATCTACTAACCTGTTCCAGTGAATTTCAGATTAATAACCATTAGTGAACACATCACTTGTCATTAGTGACTCATTGACTTGTTATCAGTGACTTAATCACTCATCATTAGTGACTTATTCATTTGCGATTAGTGACTTTTTTATTTGTCATTAGTGACTTGTTTACTCGTCATCAGTGACTTATATTCACTTGTCATTAGTAGGTACTTTAAACAATTACGCCCTCGAGCTACAAATCGCACCTTGCAAAAAATCTTGCGATTCTGTCCCTTGATGTATAATATACTATTTCACCACTAGAAATACGTTGGCTGAAGCCTCGGGATATAATCTTGTTCCCTGGGTAATACTGATATATTATTTACTACCTTGGTGTATATAATTTTTTTTTTTTTTTTTTTTGAAAAAACCTTTATTCACATTTTTATACATATTAATTACATTTGGAAATCCCTAAGCAGCACATGTGCTGGTAACAGGATTTAATTTGGAATGTGGCATTTCACATTTCTGTAATACATATTTAGGAATACTTATAACTATTAACTATCATCTATATTTTCTGGTTTTACATGTCTAATGTAAGTTTTTTGTATAAATAATATAATTATTTAAATTTTTTATTTCTATATTAAGTTTATGAATAAATTATATAATACTATCTACATTAATTTGATTCTATTCACATATTCATTCTTACCTAAAATCTCTCCATATTATTATTTCCTCAATTCATCCCTTTATATCAGCCATTTTCAGCCTTAATTCTCTTTAATCATTTTCTTGAATTTTGAATAAATTGGACAATTTTTTAACTCTTGTGGAAGGTCATTATACTGTTGGATAGCCATGTTCAAAGGATTTTTCAGTAATACATTTGTTCTTGCATACGGAAGGTCTAGACATGTTTGACCTCTTGTGATATGACCATGCACTTGATATCTATACATTATATCATTATTTGTCTTTTGTAGAGAGTTTGTTATTTTATATATATACTTTAACCGTTCAGTCTTCAAAATTGACTCAATTTTGTTTATTTTTGTGATAGCATATACATTTTCTGTAGGGGTGCGAAGTTCCAAATTGAATAGAGTTTTGATTACTTTATTCTGGAGTGTCTGTGCCTTATTTAATACTGTTTCCCCACATGAGCCCCAAATGTTAATTTGATAGGTACCTAAAAATACTGAGAAAATATGCATTGTATATAAGTTTTTTAGTATTATTATCTAAGATATTTTTAATCTTGTATAAAGCTCCAACCATTTGTGTTATTTGTTTGTAAATTTTGTCAACGTGTTCAGACCAGCTTAAATTTGTGTCAACCATTAGACCCAGGTATTTGGTATGATCTACTTCTGTAAGTACATAATCTCCAATTTGTATGTTCAGTCTTTCGTACCTCATATTTATTTGTTTAAAACACATAAATACTGTTTTTGTTTCATTGATTTTAAGGTTGTTTGTTAATATCCATTGTTTATATTTTTTAAGATCACTATTACAGCTCTACTTTAAGTGATATATGAATATAAATAACAGAAAAAAACTATCAAAATCGTAAATTGAAATGTTAGAATTGTCTCAATATACCTAATCATTTTGTAGTATAAGAAAAAATCAGTCGATTTGCCCCAAAATGGCACTGCATTTAAAATTTCACTATTAGAGGAACCTAATAGAAGAATTCAATCGGTTTGTCAGTGACACATTTGTTCGAAATGTGAGAATATAAAAAGAAGTATCAATCATCCGGCATTATAGTAGGTGATAAATAACGATAGGTAACAACAATATTTTCAACCTAGTTATGAAATTGAAATTATCATTGCCCTCCAAAAAAGATATATCGATTCTTCCATGATTTCGATACGTTTAATGTTCCCCAACCCGTATACAATATCAAATTACTCGAATTCGTAATCACGTTTTGTAACACTGTACTCATGTATTGATCTGTTCCTTATAGCGGGGGTGTTTTTCCGTCCACTGTAATGGAAATATACCCCGTCGAAACGCCGAAATATATGGACAATCTAGCACACTAACTAACAAACACAAAGAAAAATGAATCGATCTGTAGTCATCGACTTCCTAGATAGCTTGATCTTGATATCGTTTATCATTCGCACAAAAATAGCGGCATCACGGGTATGGGAGCATAGAGAAATCGTACTTACTTGTTGTAAACCTTGTTTCTGTCTAAATTTCGATGTTCGGGATTTGATAGTTCACATTGCTGTGTTCTTTTCTATATATGGGTTTCTTGACGATCGGTTTTTTTTTCGGAAAAATACGTCAGAGGCGAGCATTCACTCTTCACTGTTTTGTTTTTCTTTGACATTTCGTCAGCGCTGTTGTCCGATTTCGTCCTGATCCTGCGCGGAATTCGTGTAGTAGAGGATCCGAAGTAAGGAAGGTCGGCCTTCATCAATCAATGTTTATTGAATGAAAATTATTTTATAAGTAATTTTGCATGTTGAATATTATAATAAAATGGGTGGCCTGAAGAAATCCTCGCCAGGCTTTAATCAATAAAAAATTCAAAAATCATTTTTTTCAGTTCCTACCTATGAGTTGAATGAAAAACTGTTACACGGTTCCGTGAGTACAAAGCCTATAGAGAATATGCAATCAAGGGTTTGCACGATTTGTATATATTTTTCCCGGTCCAACTATTGGGTTGCCAGGTATAAACATTAGGTATTTTGGTCCTAATTATTTTCGCCTTCTTGTTTAATCTATAAATTAAACATAAAAATAAGCGCTTTATTATTATTGCCCACAAAAAGTCAGTCCAGGATGACGCTTGTTGAATTTAAAAATAGTATATTGTGCAACAAGTGGGAAAAGTGCTTTTCCCCACATGTTGCACACTATACTTTTTCTACAACTGCACTTATTCAAAGAATCCGAGTAATGTAACTTATTGGTATTCATTTTATAATGTGGCACTATGCCACATTGAATATTGTGACCAAAGAGTAGACGCCATTCCAAGTTCCTCAAAGTATTACAAAAAAGTACACTTTCCGAAAAAAAATTCATTTCTGTATTTTTTTGGATTCCATAAATTTTTGGTACCAATATGCCAATTCATACTTTTTTCTTGAAATTTCCGGAAACAAATTCAATTTTCGCAGCTTTTTCCATTATCTCTGTCTCTGGCGGTGTAATTATCAAAATCGTCACATCTCGGTATATACATCATATTATTTATTATGAATTGTTGGAACAATATTCGATGGAATATGCGATTTCTATCAAAAGCACTAATGAGAACTACCCTAAAGAATTTAAAAAACTCCTTCTGACAGTTTTGACAACCATTCAAAGCTGAATAACAGCAGCCATGTTTTGGTCGATTTTTGTTGATTCTCCATGGAAATGTATGTGGTGTTGGCAAAGTAATGTGAGAAAAAATATTTCTCACAGTATGGGCAATACATGGTTTTGAAACTAAGTAAGCTACACTGAGGAAAATGGGCTTATATCACAAAAAAGTTTTATTCCATAATTCGATAGAACTCACCCAAACTAGCTCACCACCGCAAACCGTTTCTTGCTGTGAGCTCCCTACGTTATATAAAAAATTATTGAAATCCCCGATTTTTCGGACCTCTGAAAACGAGGCGATGATGTGACGTCAAAACCCTAATACTGAAACAAGACTATTCCAGACAGAGATGAATGATACATGATTTCTGACAAATCAATTCTAACCTAGATTGACTTTTTGCAGCTCCATGTGAAACGGGTCAACAAAGCAATGTTGCTATGTTTATGAAATATATTGGATTATTGTGAAATTGTAATGGTGCAAATGGTTTTGAGATTGAGACATTTCGTTGTCTAGAGATTGTTTATACTCCAATGATTCAACCTACAATCGACAACTCGAATATATTTTTCTGCAGTAGTGGTAGTGGATATCAAAAGATATTTCAATATCGATTTCGATTTCTCGGATATTTTGTTTGGATGATATGGCAACAGTAATAAGTGTCAGGAGAGTGTCAGTTTCAACCATATATCTACTATTTCTATATATGGCGCATCGCCTATACGATATCTCAACAGAAATGGGACCAAAATGAGAGGTACTCTTTGAATCTATGAGAACGAAAAGTGAAGGATGGAAACAGCCATATTGGTTTGACAAATTTCCTATTATTTTTTCCCTACGTCGGTATCAACGCCTATTGGTCGATTTCATTACCTATAGAGACAGAAATGGGTCCCGCTTTGAGGAGAGCTATGATTCATATATCAGTAGTAGATATATATGGTTTATATATATATGGCGAGATGGGGTTTCTACGTCATAAGAGGGTCTCCGTTTTCAGAAGGTACTATCATTTATGTCCAAAAATAAAACATTCCAGTTAATTTTTCGATCGAATTATGTCGTCAATCATTATTTATGTATAAAAGGATCATTATAAACATGGTTTGAGTTAAAAGTTCTACTAAGGTGTACACGCCCATTGTGCTATTTAGAGTTTTTGCTGAGGTATTTCTTTCTACCACTACAAGAAATCATATTACAGTTATACATTTTCGAATAGAAGCAGCACCTTCAAATCCTATGATAGCAATAACGACTTTGCTGAAAGTGAATTCCCTGCCACAGGAAGGTATACTGCTGTAGCTATCAGGCAGCCACTCTGGGACAGCATGATTTTTTTTATAATTGTCTAGCTGAACTACTACTAGTGAGTTATATGCTTGTGGCTGCGAGGTTCATCGCATAGAACTGCACTTACTTCCAATAATACAACTGTCAGTCTGCCACGAAAATATTATTTGACGAACCAACTTGGAATTATCTAGCGCCTTCTCATCGTTATTCGATATTTCGCTGATTTGTCCCCCTCTATGTAAACATTTGTCAGACATTTTGCTTGTTCAATCATTCACAGTTGGGCTCTTGATGCAAACTCATGTACAGGACGACAATCTCGACGACACGACAGTTACGAATACTTCCCCTCTTGAATTCAAATCATTATTCAAAATCTGAATCTGAATTCAAATATAAAATGGAAACATTTCCGAACAAATAAAAAAATATCCTGTGTACCTTTCAGTGCTTTCATAGATCTGAGTGCTTCAGTTATTATACCAGGATTGATGGAATGATGAAGGTGAGTTTTTTCGAGGTATTTCGTCTGAAATTCAAATATTTTACATTCAATAATATTTTCCTCTCTTTGTCATCATGAAACTTTAAAATGGTCAAATATGTTTCAGAGCTTTTCTATAGAATCTGGTCTAGAAACTTATTGTGAGCAAAAATGACCAGGTGATGAAATTATCTGAATGGAGATTTTCAAGATAAGTATATTCATGAACATTGAATTTAAATAGAGATCGTATATTCATTCTTCTTCGAACATTTCTTCATAAAAAACGACTTTTATTGATCATTCAATCAAACAGTCGAAAAATAAGTCGACATTGTGAGTGTAAGGAATCACGTCAGGTACCCTTACGAGGGGAGTGTATCAACTTTGGCGTTCGTAATGCCTCTCTACAAAGGAGGGTGTCGCCTTCAAGAGTTAGGTATAAACAGTGGTTTTATACCAGTTTTTTCCAAATTATTTGTGCATTTCAGGAAAGCACAGTCGTTGTTAAAATGAAGCTGTGCCCTTTGAAGGATGAACTTATAATTTCTTACATGGATGTGGATTATAATGAATGATATATTGCGCAATCAGAGGAGCACAATACTAATCCAAGTTTTTTTTTCAGGATATTTCAGAAGCAACGTGAACTATGTCAGATGTCTCATCTTCTGAGATCCTGTACTCACAAGGAATCTATCATCATTCAGGAAAATTCACTCAGGAGCTCAACATCTGTCAGACAGATTAATAGAATATGGAGATGTTCAATAAGATAAGTATTCATGAACATTGAATTTGATTAGAGATCACATATTCATTCTTCTTCGAACATTTCTTCATAAAAAACGACTTTTATCGATCATTCAATCAAACAGTCGAAAAATAAGTCGACATTGTGAGTGTATGAAATCACGTCAGGTACCCTTACGAGGGGAGTATATCAACTTTGGCGTTCGTAATGCCTCTCTACAAAGGAGGGTGTCGCCCTCAAGAGTTAGGTATAAACAGTGGTTTTATACCAGTTTTTTCCAAATTATTTGTGCTCTTCAGGAAAGCACAGTCGTTATTTCAATGAAGCTGTGGTCTATGAAGTAAACCCATGTATTCTTCAACAAATGTTGATTATTATTAATTTATTTATTGCGCAATTTAGAGAAGCATGATCCTCATCTGGTTTTTTTTTTTAGGATATTCCAGAAGCAATGTAAACTATGGCAGAAATCCCATCATTTCAGAACCATTACTCACAATATTGATTGGAATGGACTAGGTTTCCGAATTCAATATGTCTTCTTATGGTTACTAGATTTTTATTATTGACTTAATACAGATTACAGACTAGTTATTCTTCAAATTAACAATCCTTACATTTTTGTATGCATCATTTCATTTTTATATCCTATCATACCAAACTTAGTTATTCTTCAAGTTAACAATCCATACATTTTTGTATGCATCATTTCATTTTTATATCCTATCATACCAAACTATCTGAATATTCAATATGAGTATGTACATCGTCCTTAACATAGTTTTTAATTCAACTAGGCAGTAAAGTGAACGATTTGATGCCATGGATGAGAACCTGGCATTAAATCTCACATCCCTGCCACAGTTTAAGGAAATACCCATTCCTTAAACTGTGTCCCTGCCGAGTAGAAAGTCTAATGATTTTCCGAATTTCAGTAAATCATTTTTATAAAGTCAGTAAAGACTGCCTATATAGGCATTCAACAAAAACATTTTCAGTACTTAGACACTGAAGATGCTGCTAACTGCGTACTGCCTATATTCAGGCAGTGCAATGGCAAATTTACTAACATTTGGAGAAGTTCATTGCATAAACTATTCGGACCCACCTAATTAACTAAGTCATCATTCACTGGTACATATTTTCAGCAATGATATGCAAGCAGAAAAATTTCATTGAAATGGCAGTAAAGTGGTTTAGAAATAGTACCTATATTGTTTTATTAGGATCAAAGTGACACTTTGTTTGACAAGCGATATTTGCGAAGCAGAGCACGCAAAATTTGCGAGTCAAACAGTGTCACTTTTTATCCGAATGTAACATGCTATTTTTTCTGCAATCGAAATAATTGATATTCAATTCATAAAATATTAGTGGAAATACCAATATTTTGCGTCACTTGAGCATGTCAGTGTCCAACCTCATATTAGCGTTTCTAGTTCCTAGGAGTTCGACTTTAACTCCTAGACACCTAAAGTGTTGCCTAGCTACATATATGCTAATTATTTTATTGTGTCAGTAAGAGGAACGTCAACTTCAAGAGCTGATTTTGGATCATAAATGGACGACTTTTGAGCCGATTGCAGAAAAACATGTTTTATACAGTAATACTCAGTAGTTGTGGGTAGGTAGCTATGAAAAAATTCTCACACTGTATTTTATGTAAGTATAAGGCGAAGAGTAAGTTTTGTGAGTAGAAAGCTATTAGGAAAGTGAGTATACCCATATGATATGAATATCTACCGGGTTAACTAAAATTTTCATTTAAAATTGGTATCGTTGTAAACTTCCTTCCATTATTTATAGCTACATCTTCACCAAATCGTTTAGTGGTGGAGAATTACTAAATCACAATCAATAGATCCTTCATTGTTTTTATCACAGATATTTACAGAATGATTATAATTTAGCACTCGCAGTTTGGGATGTTCTCACAGAAACAACCTGGCGAACGCAACAAGCAGAATCGAAATTTCTGCTGCTTTCACTGGAGAACTTGAATTTTCGGCCATTATGGATGTGTATTTTTCCTCTTCTTTGAGTTCTAGGACTTCTTGGGGTGGAACTCCTCTGAAGATAGATTCATCTAATTAAAAAAAAAACAGAAAAAACAAATTTCAATTTGGAGTTATGAATGGCTTCGATATTATACAATGCTTTTGTTCTATCAGGACAGTATACAATGATACAGTTCTATAAAGTTGTCCATATAGTAAGAAACCTATATTCTGTATCACACTGATGCTTGTGGGAACGATCGTTATACAGGAATATTATATATAAATATCTTTTTATGGAATCAAATTGGGTTTCCAAGCCAAAAAACTATAAAATTAGGTCTATGAATCAAATTAGAAGACGTGTGTTTGGTTTTTGGGTGTATGATAAATTGATATTCATCATACAGGGCGTGAAAAGAGAGAGTCTATCACGAATCTGTCATTAGAGGTCTATAAAATGACAAGTTTCCAGCGTTCAAGGTTGTACGACTTATATTTTATTTTCAAACTCCTAGCGTATGTGTTCAATATATATAATTCAATGTTCGTCGTGGCATATAGCCAGGAAAGTAGTTGTTTTCTGTTGAATAAACTGAAAAAGAGTTGATTTCCTCATCACATAGAGAATTTTTTATGCACATAGCTTATATCTGAGAATATTCCTTTTCAACACGTGTGTTTGGATTTCATAGGAAACAATTGAGTTCTTCATTTGAAGTTTATCGGTTTTAGAATACATTGGATATTATCAAGAAATTCGCGATGTGACTGTTTGATATGTTCGTCAATAAAAAGGGACGATTTGGGGTGGCGCTTGCAGCGCACTACAAAGTGGTGGGGATGAAAGCCACTGGCCTGTCGGGACCCACATGGCTTACCATTTATTGACAATGAATCATTGGACGGGTGAGCAACGCAGCTACGAAGTTGAAGCCTGCTATCAAAATGTACTGCCAAAACAGTTGGAACCCCTGAAAATTTCGAACGGATCGACAAGCGATATCAAGAAATCCTCGTCGATCCCATCAGGGAGTATCGTTTCTCTAAACAGGAATATCAGTTGGACCCCTCGGTCGGAAAAGACGATCTTACTGCCTGCGATTTATTTTTGTGAGGATCCCTAAAAATGAACAGTGCTCTGTAGATCATGAGAAGCTGATGAAGTATAATTTTCGCAGTGATCCACCATTTATCAGGCTTCCTGTCCGGAAAATGTATTTCATATACGAGTACTTTGAGTATTTGGTGCAAGACACTACCGTCTCTGTTGATGTAACTATTTCATACGAGTACTTGTTGCAAGACACTGCCGTGTCTCTGGATGTAAGAAGTTATTCAAAGTAATAAAACCCAACATTTGAAATATTCCTTTTTTTTTTTAGAAAAAGCGCTCATCATGAATATTGTGATCAATTGTCATCGATTCTTGATAAGTGTGCAGAGTTCCAATTTGATTTGGCGTTTTAAAGTGGGTCAAAATTAGGTTCGAAGATTCCGTTACATACAAACATATACATACCAAGCTAATATAAGCGTATCAAAAATATCTCACCTTCAACAAACTCCTTCTCGGCTAACTGATTACCGACTATGAATTTCTTGTTGGTATAACTCTTCTCGCTAGCAACTACTTCGGAGTTCTCGTTGCCAACTTTGATGAACGACGTGATGGAGATTTCGAAAATTTTATTCGGATCCGCTGGGAGTTCCGATATGGCTCTTTTTCTTCTTCCATAACCGATTTGTCCATCGCTACATTCGATCTGAAAAATATACCATGTAAAGGTATATATAGGTGCGCCGATGTTCGAAACGAATAGACGTGTAAGAGTGAACTCCTCAAAGAATTCGAAATTGTGGAAGAATTACCGACAAAGTCACCAAGTCCAGTATATCCAACGATTCAGGGATTCATAGGGCATCACAAGTGAGTAATCACTAGTTGAATTCATATACCATAACAAAATTATCGAATATTGTTGTTTCCAAATTAAATCAACAATACGTAGCTATCATATTAAAAATGGAACAAAAAATTGATTTCTTAATAAAAACGGTGACAGAAATAAAAACCGACATACAACAGTTAAAAACATCTGTGGATCAAATCAGCTCCGAAAACAATAATCTGAGAAAAAAGGTTACCTATTTGGAATCTAAAGTAGATTATCTGGAGAGGCAGCAAAATAACAACAGAACTAGAAATGGGCCATTGTATTCTGGAATAAAAGTATACAACCACCTACCTTCCAATATGAAATCTTTAGGTAATTTGCGTTTCAAAAACCACCTGAAAAAATTATTGCATCAACATGTTTTTTACAATCTAGAGGAATTTTTTTCTCAACATTTAGAATGAAGTCACATTATTGTTATTAGTTTACACCGCACCTTTCACTTTCTCAATGCTGTATAAGCTGTACAGAATGTAAATACTATATGCTATTATTATTATTATGTATCAATGTAATTGCGATTCTGTGAGAAATAAATCTAATCTAATCTAATCTAATCTAATAAGGATATGGGTTAATATTTCTCTCCGCGGAGAGTGTATGGCATCACGCCAGGTACCCTTACGTGGGGAGGGTATCAACTTTGGCGTTCGTAATTCCTCTCTACAAAGGAGGGTGTCGCCTATAAGAGTTAGGTATCAACAGTGGTTTTCCATCAGTCCTTTTCCAAATTTAATGTAAATTTAATGTATAGAAAAGCAATTTTATTGCTTGTCAATGGATATGTGTTCTTAAAAATGTGAACCAAATTATATGTGTAATTGATTGAGAATGATATTATGATCACAACCTTTTGCTGCTTTGGAAGTAGGTGTATAAACTTGGGCTTACGTAAAGTTAAGTACTAACAGAAAAAAATCAATATTCATTTATATTTTTCCAGGATATCGCAGGAATAATCTCAAATATCACAGATTTGTCAGAATCATGGAACCCTTTTCTGCAAGAATAGCTAATTCATTTGTAGGACAGTTCACTCTGGAATTCTACTTCTGTGAACGCCTTCCTAGATTATGGAGATATTCAAGATACGTTTTTAGTAACATTAAATTTTTCATTCCTCAAATACAGATCATATAATTATATTCTTTTTCAAGCACTTCTCCGGATAAGAAACAGCTGTTGTCAAGTTATCAAATGATAATCAGTTATTCTCCAAATTCATTGTGAACCGCATTCCTAGATTATGGAGATCTTCATGATACGTTTTTATCAATATCGAATTGTTTAGTCCTCAGATACAGATCATAATTCAGTTTCTCTTCAAACACTTCTCTGGATCTGAAACAGCTCTTGTCGAGTTATTTCATGATATTAGACGAACAGTCGCAAAATTAACAGACTGTAAGTGTATGGAATTACGCCAGGTACCCTTACGAGGGGAGTGTATCAACTGCGGCATTCGTAATGCCTCCCTACAAAGCAGGGTGTCGCCTTCAAGAGTTAGGTATAAAAAGTGGTTTTATATCAGTTCTTATCCAAATTCAATGTGAACTATTGAAAAGCAATAGTTGTTTTTCTAATGGATATACCTCGATGTATAAATAACTATTCTTACCCCCTTGCATTTGTCTAGACAGACGTTGACGGTTCCTTTGAACTGGACGTATGTCGATTCCGGAAATTTGAATGCTCGAAATTTGGCTGATAAGAAGTCACCGTCTACAGTGTTGAAGTTTTCGAAAAGGTAGGGGTCCACAGAACATCTGAAAAACAAAAATATTCAAATCATCTTTCGCACATCAGAGGCCTGTTCGTTTGTCATGATCATCCTTCTAAAAAGTGATGTTAGCCATGTTTGATGTTCGTTTGTTGCCATATATAACTTGAAGCAAATTTACCTATTTGCTCCGCGAATTTTCAGAGAGCAGAAGAATCAAATCAGATTGATCAAGTTGGATGACGAATGAAAACAAATAAAATGGCGAAAAATGTAACAATAATGTATAGATATGGCAAGAAAGAGAAAATTGTTGACATTGTTGAGGTAATAGACGCGAATCCAGACATCATCCTCGAATACTTTGCTAACAGTTTTATCATTTTATCAATCAAAAGCGAATCGAAACAAATTTGGAAATCACTCAGATTAGGCTGTGTTCAGAAATGATTTGTGCCACTGCTTTCTGTTCGTTTGTGTTGAAGAGTGAATCAAGCTTTCTGTTTGTTTCAGTTGAGCAAAAGATTAATGCTCTACTGCCTACTGAAATAAAAATCAAATCAGTGACGTCAGATTACGGGATCTTCATGATTTTTTGAGCATGTTGAGCTTTTTAAACGAATTGGCATCCAGAGGTAACTCTAGAATATTAAAATTCACCCTGATATCATTTCACCGTAAATTGTAAATAGTTAACTTTGGTATGCAACTCTTTTCAACCTATTTGGAACTTCATCAACTTCAATATACAGGGTATTTCCAAAATTGGAACAGTAAATGAAATTAATAAAGACACGATATATAGATCAAAAAAACATATTTTGATACTTGCGATCTCGTCGAAAGCAAACGCATGGGAGCTCAATATATCTCTCAAGCTGCAAATACCAGTAAAAGTATAATTTTTAATGCATGCTGTCAGTGTATTAAATGCCATTTCATGTCACTGGTATTAATAGTAAAATACTTTTAGCCGTAGTGCTTAAAGTGATTTAATTTTATGAGAAAATACAAAAACATAATTCAAAATGAAGTGTTCATTCGATTAAAGATAAAATTTTTAGTTTGTAGAGATTCGAAAAACGCATGCTAAGACTTTTGAGCTTAAATATTCATTGCTGCTGTCAAAGCAAATGCAATGTTGCCACTATTTTTTCTTTCCCATCAAAAGTTGTCATATCTACTGCTTGAATATATTTTTTGAAGTTACATTGTGTGAAAACACCAGGTGTCCTAAAGTAAAACCCAAGTCACAAAGTTATCCTGGTTCACCGTATTTTCGTTTTCTTACCCATTATAAATGATAGTTTCCTCTTGTGCCTTAGTGTCCGTGACTTGCATGTGGGTGACTAGAAGACCGTATATCGGCGCCGAAACTTTGTCCAGGAAAATCTCCATCTGGAGGGGGGTGCCAGGGGAAACGTTCAGTTCGCCGGTAACCAATTTTCCGGACTGTCTGACGCCAACACCCAGTATAGGTTCGGGGGCTCTCCCTATCGTGTCGTTCGTCGTCAATATCTCGATTTCCCTGCAAACAAATTGGAATTTATCAATATTTTGACACTGATTGATCCGAATTAAATGAAACTGATAATATGGTTATTTTTTCTGTGACGGGAAAAAAGTATAGGTCGCGTGCACAATGACCGACCCTGGAGGCAAAATATTGAAACACAACCTCATTCTTCTGTGAATAATTGAAACACAACCTCACTTTTTTATTTGGTTACAGAAGAATCAAAGGATTAAAATAGTTTTTCACAATATTTTGGCATACGAATCGTGTTTTTTGCGCTATTCATTAATTCGAGCATGCCTTCGCATTGTGCTGTTGTACAATGCACAAAAAATGCAGCAAGAGACTAAAGAATATGATTTTTTCAGGTAAATAGTAATCTCACATAGTTATCATTATGAAATTGTCATTCCTTATTAAAATTCCTTCTGCCTTCTGCCACTTATGCAATACAAGCTAATACTGCTAATAGATTGAAAATGTCTACAACACACACGATCGTCAGCATGTCAAACCAGTCCTCCGGATTGATTGCATGAATCATCTTACATGAATCCAATCTTCTTGCATTGTTTCAGAAAGTTCAGGTGTATTTCTATTAGCTCCTATCGCAGAAGGAATTCCGATGAGAAATCAGAGAAATTACCAAACTTCAAAAATGAAAACTATATGTGAGTGAGACTATAGTAGGTACTTACTTTTAAATCATATTGTACCAACCGGATTACTTCGTCTTCCGCTGCAGTTTTTGTGCATTTCACAACAGCATAATGTGATGGCATGAGCGAATTGATGAATAGCGGAAAAATACGATTCGTATGCCAAAATAATTGTGAAAAACTATTTCGATCACTTGTAAACGAATATGAAAAGTGTCAATGTTTTGCCTCCAGCGTCGGTTATCTGACAGTTCTTGCACGCAACCCATGGCATTTTATCTCTGTTGGCAGGTTATAAAATTTCACTTTTCATAAATCACTTTTTTCTCGTGGGAAAAAAGTGAGTAATTTTTTCCCTGATATATATCACATATATATACACTGTTCACTGTTCATGGCTTTTGTTGTGCTATAGTTCCGAAAAATAAGTCAATAATACCGTCTCCGAGAAAGAACTGCAAGTCCTTTTATCTTCCATTCGACTTCGCGGTTACTAAACAACCAATAAATTCGCAATTTTTTGAAATCAAATCACAGAATTAGACTGACAGAAGTGACATCAGATATTTGATTACTTCAAAAGAATGATAAAGATGCCTACAACGCAGGTGTCCCTACTGTTAAAAACTTAAAATTTCACGTCGATAATTTTCAGATTTCAAAATAATGTAATATCTTCTCAATATTGATTCGTTCTTTCTTCTGTCACAGAAGAAAATAGTAATATTATACACGGGAAAAATATTAGATTTTAGCTCACAGTTTTTTGTCTCCCTCCGCTACGGAAACATTTTCAGTCGAAAATTCACTAGAATTTTCTTCATAATTAATCAGCTTTGTGTACAAGCCCTCCAATTCATGGTTCTCGCCACTAAATCACCATGTACGAGTACAATTTTGAAGTATCTAACGGTTTTTTTTTTAGTGTAAACTTGGCACCTGCCCAATGTTCGTCCATCAGATACGTATCCAGCAATTAAACAAATTACTGTTAACAACATCAGTATTCACGATTTGATCTATTAATTTCAGTAATTATTTCTATGACTATTTCTTCGGTTTTATGGGAGATGCACATGACCATATCGTATTTCGCTTTGTTAACCATTCTTAGAAGTAAAACCAATAATTTCACGGACATTAATTTGAAATCAGTGGTGGATCTGGATCCGGCAGAAGAATGCAACCATTCGAAAGCAAAGTATAAAAAACACATGTACCTACAGGGTGTTTCATTATATTTTGACTCCTACATACATCTTCAAATATAGGAGACGGAAAAAAACACCAAATATGAAAGTTGTATAGGATTTCATCTATACTCTTTGGCACTCGAACAGATCACTTCAACTGAAACACCCTGTTTACTATCAACTCCATTCCATATTTTTTCTAGTTTTGACATAGAATTTGACTTTCACGGACAAACGGTACATTTTGGTACACAAATAAATTTGGTCCAATCAAATTATTTTGACCTCTATCAATTTTGGGACACCCAAGCTATTTTTCTTTCATTTTGAATTGAATCAGAGTTGCCAATAACAATTCAGATGGCTGTGGACACAACATTGAAACCGTGGAACGAAAACATGAATTTTTTGACATCTCTGTCAGTTTTTCAATTGAAATGGGTTATTCCGTAGATGAAAAAATACGAAATGGTAAGAATATATTATGAAAATATTGCGGAAACTGTAGTTGTGCAGCATAATTTTAGTCGAAAACGGCTCGAGGGACGACCTTTTAAATTTGTGAATAGAAAAAAACAACAGTTGAAAATGAAGGGCCCGGTGTAAAAACCGGTCAGCTCCTTTTTTCATAATTCGTGGAAAATCGAGAAAAACTTTGCAAACGAAATTTGAGATTTTTTTTCTCCACAAAATATTGGTCATCAAGTAGAGGGATGTTGTGATCTTTGTAGAACAACAAGAAGATTCATTTTAGCCGGTTACTTAAGCACCGAGCCCTTTAAATATACAGGGTGTTTCATTTGAACCATATACATATACACCATGTCCCAGCTAAAATGTCCCCCCCTGTAAAAAATCAACCGCGCGATCGAATGACTTGAAATTCGGCCACCCAGTATATTTGATAATGCTCACTCGAAATATGCTATTGAATGAATCGTAGGTATACAGGGTCACACCGAACTGCACCTAAACTCTTCTATTTGAATAGGGACACCCAGTATATTATTCCATATTCAAGTAGAGTTCATTATTACAAATTCAACAATGCCGGGTGTGATGGGATTTTCCCAAACGACTACGAAGATATGGCAAAAAATAAAACGATTCAATAAAACATTTATTACGTTCCTGTAAAAATAGTGTTTCCTGAAAATTTTGCCAAAACCAATGAGTTCATTATGGCTGCGCACAAAAATTGTTTAATATTACTTTTCAAAGCCTCCTCAAAATTTTTTCATTATTGACGGTGACGCTTCATCACAATGAACCATTAGCGTATAGGAAGATTATGATACTGGATATCGATTTAAAATATCGATTACCTATATGGTATCAACGTGTTCGTAACACAATACCTTTTCCAGATATAACGAGCCACCCTTGTTCCACTTGAAAAAAAAAAGTCAACATCATAATAATGATATTGTAAATTTTTAATGAACCTGTGAAACAAATGGAAAGAAAAACTTCATCGAAACAAATTGTCGTTGGCAACTTGATTCAAAATCAACTATTTTAACTCATTCATGACACTCCAGATTAAAAGTGGAAAAATGAAAATTTCAGGATGGTAAATGTCAAAAAGTGGCAAATGAGGTACCATTGTACTCACAATGTGATTCTCTATCGAAATAAGTGAAAATTTACCGGGTGTCCTATTCAAAATAAGAAAATAAGGGTCATTTCCGGTCGAACCGGAAGTGCCAGAAAACGATTGAATACGTCAAATAATGCATATTCATTCCATTTGTTTATCTGTAAAAACAAACAAGTTATAGGGGTGAGCCACTTTTGAAAAACATCCGGTATATTTTTCACCCTGTATTTCATTATTTTGTTAATTTCATGAATTTTTGCCTTGTGACCCCTCATGAAAATAATCCTAGATCCAATACTGCATGAGACAATCAAACCAACACCATAACGCGATTGATATGTTACAGATCGGCTTGATGGATTAGAGATCTAGGTAAATGGAGCAGTTAGATTCGATTGTCACGAGTCATGACGATGGTAAATTGAGCCCATGAACCATCTTGTCCTACCGTTTTTCCTCAATCATTTCTTATAAGCATCAATTTATTGAGGTTTGTCTGCTCCGATTATTTAAATTGCTTTACAAAAACATAAACTGTTATAATATATTATTAGTTGAAGTACAATAGAACAAGTGAAAGCTCATATAAGTCAATCGGGACGGTTATAGTGAATGAAGATTTATGAAAATTCCAGTCCATAAAGGCTATAATGAACTAATCACTAGAATTCGTTATCAAAGTCACTTATGGTGAGGGAACAATTTCCTCACCATAATAAACATATCAGCAAATTTGACACATTGATTAGAAGTATTTGTAACTTCAACAAATTGATGGTTTCTCGATCTCGGTTTTCCTTTTATCCATTTTTTCAGTTTGGAGATGAAAAGATTCTGAGCATAAATCAGTTATCAGTTTCAGGTCGACTGGTATCAAACTGTATAATTTCGGTCCCAGCAATTAAACAAAACAAAACTATGTTGTAAGATATTTTTTCGTGGTCTAGGCATTATATAGGAATTTTGTCTGTTTCTAGTGTTGTACGTGTGGTCGGGAAGTCTTAGTTCAGTTCTGTGAATGTGTTGCCTATATCATGTGAATGTTGGGAGACTTGGCAACATTGTGCAGAATGCTGAGAACTGACAAGACCACGCCCACAAGTCATGCGCCGTGTTGTCACTTTCACCGATTCAAATGTCCTCTAGTGTGAATTAATATAATTATTATTTACACAAATTTATTATAAGCCATAAGTCACAAATCATAAGGAAACATTTTGAGACAGTTGAATTTTCATTGCTAATTATGAATATAACCAATACTCAATAGAGAATTTGAGAATAATTGAATAACTACGTATACTGCGTATCTAATGATATACTCATTGAAAAGTTGTCATATTATGGTGTTCGAGGTTTACCATTGTCTTTTTTCAGATCATACCTATCAGGTCGCCAACAAAGTGTTTATGTAAATGAAATGTCTTCTGATTTTATCTCAGTGTCACATGGAGTACCACAAGGCTCTGTTATAGGGCCCCTTCTTTTTATTGTTTACGTCAATGACCTGTTTGATTTTATCTCAGTGTCACATGGAGTACCACAAGGCTCTGTTCTAGGGCCCCTTCTTTTTATTGTTTACGTCAATGACCTGTTTCATTCTATGTTTCCAAAGTCATGAATAGCATTTGCTGATGATACAACGTTAATTGATTCTTGTACTAATTTGGACGTTCTGCATTCCTGCTGATGCTAATGCTGACTCTATTATTACAGCTCAACAATGATTTGCTTCAAATAATTTGAAGCTCAATGAGGAAAAAACTCAAAAACTCATATTTTCTACCAATAACCAGAATATAACGGGAGATAATGTCAAATTACTTGGGGTAATTATTGATGATAAAATCACTTGGGCATGCCATATCGAACAATTGAGTCGGAAACTCTCTAGTTCAATTTTCGTGTTGAGAAATTTGAAAAATCAACTATTGTCGTCTGATATTATTAGAACATTCTACTTTGCTCTTTTTCACTCGCATGTCATTTATGGTACTTTATTGTAGTTCTCACAAAATTTCCAAACTTCAGAAACGGGCAGTCAGAATTGTAGCTGGAGCTGAATTCAGGGATCACTGCCAACCTTCACTCAAAATTATGCCTCTTCCTTCATTTGTATATCTATTTGTCCCTTTTGGAAATACATAAGAATAAAAATGATCTCATGACTGATTCATGTGTTCACAGTCACCAGACTAGAAAAGCAGATAATCCCAGATTACCCCGCTTAAATTTACAAAATCCCGTTGAGTCCCACCAGATTCAAGTCAGTTATGAAAAATTATATTTTGATACACTGCTTTTACACTTCACGAGATTATTTACTGTCTCCATTCGACTCCTTATTGAGAAACACTTACTAACTTTAACTGAACTTAATTGTGTGTGCGTGTGATTGATATTTGTTCATCCATGTGAGATATGTTTGTGTTCTACTTATTCATTGTTTCAATACTTACTTATATACTCAAATTTCGTTGTTTCAATGAATTTGTATTGTACAGGACTTGGTGACAATAAATTGATGAATGAGAATTTTTACTTACTCTGGTTCTTGGAAACCTGCTGGCAAAACATTCCTTTTGGAAACGGTGTGGTTTCTAATGGAATAGATTGAGCATTTGACATGAAGAGTTTCTTTGAGAGTGTGTCCTTTATCTTCCATGTGCTCTATTATTAGGGTTTGATAGAATATTTGTTTCCCCTGGAAATAAAATTAATAGAATAAAATTTGTTCACTACGAAATACTGTAGACATGTTTTGGGACACCATGTATACAGGTGGATTAATCTAAGAGGGCTCCTATGGCTCATACTGCAAACTTCATTCTAGTAGGAACTCACTATCATTCCGTGCTCGTTGAACAATATACTATTTTCTACAGCTATAACAAAAAGTTGCTCTTGTTTTACTGGCACATCAATGAGGTACTTTGTATGTCATCAATTTTATTTCCGTATCTGATATCACAATGACTCCATTGTGTTATTATTCAAAGAAATCTCATCGGTCATGGAATGTCAAATTGCAAGCAATGACAGCTCTTTCTAATAGATGAGCATTACTTGACAGGAAATCAGATGGCTTCAATACGAAGAAATCAAAAATGCCGCTGTTATCTCCCTAACAACACAGGGATGTCCTAGGTACGTCCCTTTTTTGTCCCGCGGTACAAGGACATGATTGGGACATCCAGGGAATATCCTGCAGTGGTTGTCCAGTGGACATCCCGCCCGGTACATCCCTAGGTTATCCTATTCGTGTCCCTGGAGTATCTGATATCCATTCACATCAGAGTCATTGAATTTCATCAAACTATTGAGTTGAATTTTTTTGAAAATGTTTGTTTTTCTTTCGGAAAATGATTGTAATGAAAATAAAGAATAAAGTCTCAGAACTTCTCAAGAAATTACCATTTTTCGCAGACAGAAATCGTACATGCATAATGTCCCTCATCTTTAAACACCCAAGAATGATAATAATTATACCCAATTCCTAACAAAGTTGTATTTATTCAGGTTTCTGTAGTTAAGTCCTGTTTATAAATCTGTTTAGTACATAAATCTTCCGGAGGCATGATAGCCAATGGAGCAAGGTGCGTGCATGATAAGCCAAAGGTCCCGGGGTCAATCCCTACTCGACCTACAACTTTTTTCTTTTGTCGAAAGGATGTTCCTGGGATATCCTTGAGACGTCCTAGGGATATCCTTTCATCGTACTTGGTACATCCTAGGGACGTACCAGAAGGACATCCCTTGGATGCATTTTTTTGTGGCCAGCGGATGTCCCTGGGACATCCCTAGTATGTACGTTGTCCCGACAAAGGACATCCATGGGATGTCCTAGTATAAAATCAGGGACGTTCCTGGAAAGTCCCTAGGATGTACTGGTGTTGTTAGGGCAGATGGCTTCAATACGAAGAAATCAAAAATGCCGCTGTTATCTATTATTGCCGTAGAAAAATTATACTGTGTTACTTGCACGGAATGCTAATTTCCTACTCGCCTATGGCTCATGCTGCAAACTTCATTCTCGTAGGAAATCACTATCATTCCGTGATCGTTGAACAATATACTAAATTTCCACTCGTGTGTAAAATTCGTATTACTCACCGTTTGCTTATTGACAGCCCTGGTGACAGCACATCGGTAGACATCCTGTAGATCGAACTCGAACACAGCCAGGGCGCCAGTGGCGTCCGTGTGTGGTCTGCAGGCGACGTCAGGGTACTCTCGCAACCCCTCGATGTACACCCCCTTGACGGTAGCAGGCATTGGAACCTCTACCCTCATTTGGGTCTCTGAGCATTTCACTTTGGGTGGGGAAACTGCAACGAAAACGGAGCATCATCCATTTTGCGGAATATAAATTTTCAGGATAGTTCATATATTAGTCTTTTTATAGGTCTCCTTTGTACTTTCAATTTTTCAATTCATCTTGTATTGCATCTGGAGATGGTCGTAGACCCTAAACTATAGTAACACCATCATGGCCATCATGACGTGTTTTTTTGTTTCTCTTTGATAGATGATTGCCACATTGAAATCCCATATTTATCATGGCTTCAAACGGTACCTGCCGTCTTATATGAATACATACAATAAATTCGCTTGCGCGCCATCTTATGTAACAATTTATTCTATACGTGAAATTAACATGTTAGAAGTCCTTGAAATGCATACAAATTAAATGTTCAACTCATACGGTGCGTTTCCTGTAGCCGACCCATGCAAACGCAATCCACGTCTGGCGGAATAATACACTACTCATAAGATGAAGTGGCCCATTCCAGTAATTTTTTTCTGTAAACTGTAGTTTGTATAATTCGACGGTGTCAAATATACCCTGCATTGAGTGAACGATGTTCCGGAAATCACGTGGTTTTTTGTTACAATATTTCAGGATAACATACGTCTTTTCGCTCAGTTTCACCACTACGCCTATTTCTACAGGATTTTGCAGAAATAGTAGTGTCCTATGTGAACAACTACAAAAACTGAAATTAGGGTCAAACTACTTCGGCAGGCTCGATTTTTTTACTCCCCAATTGAAACTACACGCCCAAATTTTACTATAAAATATCAACACTGAAAAATATATCGTAATCCTTCTGCACTTTTTACCTTTGACCTTACTTCTCAATACTACGTCTCAGTACTACACCTCATTTTTTGTCGTTGTACTCGTTTTTGATACGAATACACCTTTATTACCAAAAAATGTTCATAAGAGGCTCAAATCAACAAATTACAAGCCATCGACCTGTATCATTGACTACGAACATCAACAAAAAAAATGAAAAAAATGATCACAGCAACAATCTGTATATTGAAAAATATAATAGATATAATTATTATCAAATATGTAGTTGGCTTTAAAAAGAAGGAAAATCCACAAAGAACGAAATACTCGAATTATCTCCAAAAATTTATTGATCGAATCAAACCATGTATAATGACAGTATTTTTGAACTATAGGCACCGTGAGTCACTCCATACTAATTATTCTCAACTTTGTAAATAATTGGTATAAGGAACAACAACTGTTTCAGTCTCTCCAAAATATATTTTAGAGGTCGAAAACAGTACGTGACGATCAATGACGACATAAACCACAATAAACTAATAGAATGTGGTGTGCCTCAAGGAACAGTGCTAGAGCCGATATAATTCTCCATCTATATAAACGAACACATAATCTGCTTTGCGGATGATACCGCTATATTCCATGAGGGTGACGAATGGAAAGTCAGGAATACTGTTCAAGAAGATCTTTTCTCTTTCATTCTCCTTGACACTCTTTCCCTCCCATTTTCTCTCATCCTCTTCCATTTTTATCTTTCCCTCTGATTCAGGAATAATAAATGACTATTATGATGGCAAGCTACGACTTCCAGAATACATTGGGTAGGTACTGGATTATTGAATCTATTAATTTTCTCAAGAGTTATCTGGTACCATTTTGGAACAACACTGGTTTCAAGTCTATATAAGTCTTCTATTTCTTCACCAATAAGTGAATTACTTCAAAAAAATATGATAAGACTTAATGTTGAGCAGCTTAATTTGTTTGCCATTGTTCATTGTTAGTTAGAATTGTTACGCGTTACGCTCGATTGTCGCGGCTTGTTGGTTTCTTGGTTTTGTCGGGGTTTTCGTTCTTCGAGATATATCGTACTCCTGAGACAGACAAATTCTTCTCGTTCTATGAAACGCACAGAACGCGGGTATTCCGAGAACTTGTCGGTCAGATTACAAGCGGTGCTAAATATGGTGAGGCACCTACGGCAAAAATTCGAAACAGAGTCGATCTAACAATAATTCTTATTCTGCTCCACACATCAATGATGTCAGTCACATGAAAATGAACATATTTAATAGAATTTCATGTATTCACCGCTGCTGTCTCAATATAATTATATAAGAATCGATGGGAATTGATGAGCATTGATGAGATTTGAAGTGAATTCAAGGGTGTTAATAGGAGTTCATGAGAATTCATAGTATTTCGAGTATTTCTCTGACGCTTTCGTTATACGTCTGGTTCACTGTTAGTTCAATCCATTGAGGCAGCGATATTTTGAAACAAAGCAGCATATTTATATATAATGAACCTTCATTTCAGATGCATTTTTATATAATTTCATGAACGAGGAGTAAAACAGAAAAAATCAGAAATGTTGATGAAGGATCCTCACCATAATCATTACATTGATGACCAATTAATCACATAATGTGAGGAGTATTCCCTATGAGTTTTCAATATGTTATATTGGCATCCATGAGAATTTATGAGAATTGATGATATTTCAGGGTAATATTTATTGAATAACGCTTACTCATCAATTATGTGATACACCTAAAATGATTTATCACTCATCAGTCTATTACTTCGCAAATAGAGGATGAAGGGGTCAATTTTAACATTTTAGGAAATTCTGTAGTTTGAGGAATGCTTTTTGTATGATATTTTAATATTCTATTGCGAGGCGAATCAACCCTGAGGGATTGAAAGTTCCACTTTAATCTCTCAAATGGAGGATCAAAAGTATATTTTGTAACATTTTCGGAATCACCCTGTATTTGTCCTTTCGAAAATGGCGAGAACAACAAAGTCACAACTGTACAATCGACGATACGACGATGACCATAGACTATAAAACCGTAGGTTGAAGGAGTGGGCATCGAATCATGATGCCTTTTTGGGACACAGTCATCTCACAGGAATACAGAACACCGAATGAAACGCCAGTCAAACTCACTGAGATCCGCTATAAAAAAGGCAAAAAAGTGATTTCAAATTTATGAGGCTCGATTCAAAAGAATTGTCGTTTAGCTGGCCAGTACCAGACTAAGGGGTCGTCGATGTAAGGGGCACCAAACAAGTGATTTATTTCATGTTCACGATTTTTTATTATTTCACTCTCACTCTCATATTACGTGTTTGAAAAATCGATAGGAATTGTAGAACATTTTGTTGGCTAAATGATGGAAATGAAATCTTCTGAAATACCATGAATTTTCATAAATTATCAAACTCTCATAAATTCTCATAAATACTCATATTTTCTTCTGATCTATACACCTTCTTTCAATTGTTTATAGAATCCGTTAAGATAATCATCTATTCAGAATTTTGTTTTCAAAAAACTGAAAAATAAGAGAGATACAAAATAAAAAAGGTGAATCTGGGCTTGTGTATCAAGACATACCTAGTCTGTTAATGTATATTTTTGCTCGGATATTTGTCATATCGATCAGGCATTGTACCGATCAGTTAGTTGAACACATTATTCAACTTGTATAATAATGTAATTTTTTTATTTCTCAGTTTTTTTGGAAAAGTTATTTGAAAAAGTACTTTATTTCAACGAGTTCTATACAAAACGTGTTTTTAACCATCATTTAGTGTTTTTGAGATTTATTTATTTTCATTCTAGTCCGGCTCTGCATCTGAATATTTTTCAAAGCGAATCGATTAACTTGACAGAGCAGAAATGGAAATAAGTACATTGTAATTCCGTTTTTGCAAGGGACTGGATGGTGGTGACAAAGAGGATGTACATGGTTTCTGACTCATAAAATCTGCAAGAACCATAAAATTTTACGATGAAATGTGTTGTGTTGACCACGCAAGATGACTTGAAAACGAGCACTCAATTCGATTTTCTAATTACTTTTCATCGCTTACGACACACCACAAAAAGTCTGAATTATCATAATGTTTTTTTTATTGCCTTGTATGAGAATCAACTCTTCCACGAAAGATGATCTGTCGAATGAGGAAATGATTTTTTAATGTTTAGTGACAGTTGAGCATCTACCAGAATTGCTTTTTATTCATTGCATTTCGGAAAAACCAACACCACGGAATACTTCAGACATTGATGAAATAAACCTCTGGTGTGCTAACTCTTCATTTGTTTTGTCAGACTGGTTTTTGATATAAACAATTGAATTTCAGACCATGACGTGGGGTTCACATATTGAATGTTAGATGGCGTGATTCCTTGAACTTATCAAGGTTGGTAGAGCTGAAACCTTGAAACTTATAATCAACATCAGCTCTACCAACCCTGATGCGGCCAAATCGCAAAATGGATTTCCTATACCTTCATTGGTCACAATTCGGTCACAATTGTCACATTGATGCCTGTAATTTTGGTACGGCACCAGACTGAACTTGGCGAGATTCACCCACGTCATGTTATGTTTATCGAAGTAGGCGAAAATCAAGGAATTTTTAAACAGGAAAGGATTGAAGTGCGTACACCACAGGTTTATTTCAAAAATTTTCCGAATATCTGGTCTATTATGCTTGAATGCAATTTCATTATAAAAACGAATGGTTGTATTGTTCATGTTGTCATCAGAAAGAAATACATCATAATATGAATGAACAATCTTTATTTTTTGAAGGAATCATATGTATACCTATATTCAATAGTATATCAATTTTTTCCCGTAACTTTTTAGATTTCTTCTCCTCTACTCTATAAATAAAAATCTGAGTATTATTTCACTGTAGCATATGTATATAGATAAAGAACATTAAATTTTTCGTCGCTTCACGAGTCCGTCAGAACGAGTGGTATTTACTGTACGGCAATAAAATTAGGAACATAGGCCATCACTCGAATACATTTTAATTTCATATTTTGTCTGTTGATTTTCAGGTGCTAAAATCATTGGGTATTGGTAATATTCCAAATTAGGAATACAAATTCAATTGCCTCTAAATGTTCCCTCATGATTTTTGTGGCTTATTGTTTATTGTAATTTGTGTAAATAATAATTATATTATCATTTTAGTCGGTCAACGTGACAT